CCCAAAACAATATTTTCTCACAATCAAGTCCTTAACTCAATGCTAAAATATCACAAAATTTTGGGGTATTACAATAACATAAAAAACAATAATATTAATTTCAAATAAAAAGATAATATGATCTTAATTAGAATTGCTATAATACTAGCATATTAATAAAATAAAGTACTAACCATACAACTCTTAAATATGAAGATAACTATCATTTTGATGCACATAAAAGACAACTTCAGTTAAACTTAAATTTATAATGAATAACCTATAATTTAAAGGAAATTTTCATTTTAAAATAGGTAAAAATTAATAATAGATGAATTTGTAACTTGAATTTCATATTTTAATAGATAAAAAACCGAAACAAATAAAAAAATTCAATTAAAAACATTAACTAACCTTCACAAGGTATAGAAATTAAAGAACTTCTTTATGTATGCACATACTTTGAAACTTTTTCATAATAGCCCAATTGTCCATGATCTTTGTGATATCAATGTTATTTTTTGTAGGATTATATAATAAAATTAAAGGCATTTTAAGGAGGCATCTCATTTGATTTTTTTATTTTTTTTATGTCATTAAAATTTTATAATTTTTTCATTTTCATTAAGTAACCCATTTAGTTTGTAATTTGTGATTAAATATTTCTTGGTGTTAAGGGATGGAGAAACTAAAAAAAAAAAAAAGGTAAGTAATTAACTCTCCACCATTTGGCTTAAATTTAAATATTTTTATAGAATTTTGATTTTTGTTGTATAATATTCAATTTAAAATTTTGATATATTTGAATTTGGATAAAAAAAATAGATTTTTATATATTAATTAAATGTATTTTGTAATTATATAAAAAAAGTAATTATTCGTATTCTATAATTACATAAATATATTAATTTTTTTTAATTTGAAAATAATATTTCGGTCAAATATTTTGATCGAAATAATCTAAAATAAAATATTTTGTGATAACATTTTTTTGTCAAATATTTTGACTGAAATAATCTAAAATAAAAGATTTCCTAATAATAGTTTCAACCAAATTTTTTGACCCAAATTGTTCAATATTTTCGGTCAAGATGAAATTTTGTCCGAATTATTATTTCGTACAATATATATGTGGATCAACAATTTGGTCAAGCAATTTGACCAACTTACTTCTTATTTAGTTAAATTCCTACTTATTCGATCAAGTATTCGATCAAGATGCTTGACCGAATAAGTCCCTCTTTCTAGTAGTGACTTTGTTTCTTAACATGTGCATGGCAACCCCAAATTTTCAAGTGTTTGACACTTGATTTTTTATTAGTCCACAACTATTTAGAAGTTTTAGGGGTTAATTTTATTGGAACTCTATTTAACAAATAAATTCTAGTTTCTAAACAATATCCCTAAAAAGTTGTAGGCAAATCCAGTACACTCATCATGGATTGTAGTACCATATCTAATTAAGTATGATTTCTTCATTCTGAGACACTATTATGTTGTGGTGTTCTTGGTGGGGTAAATTGAGATGAAATTCCACTATCTTTTAAGTAGTCTTTAAACTCATTTGAGATATTTGCCTCATCTATCAAAATAAAGACGCTTAATATTTCCACCCTTTTGTTTTTCCACTTCATTTTGGAATTCTTTGAACTTTTCAAAAGATTCCAATTTGTGTTTCCTAAGGTAGATATATTCGTATCTAGAATAATCATCTGTAAAAGTGATAAAATAGGAGAACCCACCTCTAACAGCATGGTTCATTGGACCACATCCATTTGTATGTATTAAGTCCAAGACTCTTAAAGCTATTTCACATTTTCTAGAAAAAGTTAACTTAGTCATCTTTCCTTGCAAGCAAGATTCACATGTTGGATAGGATTCTATTTTTAAGAAGTCTAAAGGACCATCCTTAACTAATCCATTATTCCTTGCCACATTGATGTGACCTAGCCTTTAGGGCCATAAATAAGTAGGAACAATCTCATCATGTTTTCTTTTGCTCAAAAAAGAATTTTGATGGATATCTTTTTCAATGCATGCAATAGAATTAAGTGTACAAGAAAGAAAATAAAGACCATCTTATTTAAAACTTGATGCCACAAATTTATTATTTAAACAAATAGTAACAATATGTTTTCAAAATAAAAAAGAATAACCTTGTTCATCTAATTTTGAAATAGAAATTAAATTCCTTCTAGCTTGTGGCACATAAAGATAATTTTTAAAACTAAAATAGCTCCCTTTGCAAAACTAAACTAAAAATTCCTATAGAAGTTGCTACAACTCTTGTTGATGTTCCTAAAAGCAAAATGATCTCCCCTTTATTCAACTTTTTGGTTTTTGAAAACCATACAATGTATTAGAAACATGAGAGTTTGCACCAGAATCACTGCACCAAGAATTCTCAATTCCATCCAACAAATTGCTTTAAAAAATGAGTAAATTTATTAACAATCCTTTTGAAGGTTTCTTGAGTGAAGCTAGGTATTGGTGACAATTTCTTTTTCAATTACCTTTCTTTCCACAAAAATAACAAGCATCTTATGATTTATCTTTCTTCACCTTTTTAGCATTGTCTCCTTGGGTTTGTGTCACGCCCTAAACCCCGAAGCAAGACAAACACCGTGTACTCGTGAACGGGACCCACAAATGCACAAGACTCGAAACTTACTGAATTCTTACTTAGTAATTCAGACAATTCAAATCTACACCATTTTATTTACCAAATATTTACCAGTCAAGATGTACAAAATTTATAACTTCATATATACAATCATGACTAAAACTAAAGAAGTTCTGTACAAAAAAATTTCTAAGTCAAGCATGGGTGACTAACGGCCTAGCTACAAAAATGTAAGTCCAAAAATGCCTAGCCGTCTAGCTCGTCACTCCCCCGGGCTCCCCCTGCGTCAGGTCTCACTACCTGAAATTGTGGACAAGTAAAATTATGAGATAAACTCAGTAAGTAAAATATGGAGTGCCCCTTATTAAACTCATAGCATGCCAATAAGTGTAATCACGAAAAACGGATACAGTACGGGAACAAAATAAACGTCTCCTCTATAGATCACGGCCAGTGTTATAAACCACCCACTGGCAAGCGCACTATTTACTAGTGTATAATCCCCACTAGCAGGGTCACTCGAACGAACTGGTTCTATCACTAATATGTCGACATGTGCTAGCGTTTAACCCCCACTAGCAGGGTCACTAATAACATGACCACATCAGAGACAATACAGGCTAAAGTTAACAAAAAAATCATCATTCACCAATCACTTTCAAATCATCATGACAATCAATTAAATTTCAAGTAAACATGCTCAATTCAATGAAAAGCATAAAAATTTCATTTCAATCGATCATACTTGTGTAAAACGAGTTTAGTCCCGCTACCGCTTCAAAAACAAATCAAAACATGTTTTTAAAAGCTGTGTGGGCATTACCATAAATTTACTTACCTCACTCGCATAAAGCAGAAGACTCACTCCTAGAGCTAGAGTGATAGAATAATCAGAAACCTAACCAAAACATTCCAGAATTAATAACCATATGAAAACTACCTATTTAATCCTTTTCAATATTGTTGCTGGCAAAACTCCAAAATGCCATATTTATTATTTATATTTTTTTCTCCAAAATTTA